GATTCTTCTGCCTCAGCCTCCTTTTGAGACAGAGTCTTACTTTGTTGCCCCTGGTAGAGTGCCCTGTTGTCGTAGCTCACAGCATCCTCTATCTCTTAGGCTCAAGGGATTCTCTTGCCTCAGCCTCCTGAGTAGCTGGGACTATAGGCACCCACCATAATGCCTGGCTATTTTTTTAGAGATGGTGTCTCACTCTAGCTCTGCTGGATTTGGAACTCGTGAGGTCAGGCAATCCACCCACCTCGGGCCTCCCAAAGTGCTGGGATTGGAGGCGTGAGCTGTCGAGCCAGCTTCCCTTTTTTTTTTTTAGTTTATGAATCTCCATTGGTTTGTTAGTTGAGATTCCACATTTGTGCAACACCTCATTCCATGCCACAGAAGAGTGTTCTTGAGAGGAGAAGGTGTGAGTGTGGTAAGGTTAATAATCTGATCATATTTTCTAACTCACTGTAAATCAATTTGGATCATTATATTCTCATACTGAAATCATGGTCTACCTAAAAGAAGTACCAACAAAAAGCTGAAAACTCACTTCTACACTGGCGTAATCGCACATGGAACACTTAAATGGCTTCTCGTGGGTGTGTTTGTAACGCCGATGCCGCACCAATTCTCCACTAGTCACAAAGGCCATGTCGCAGTCTGGGCACTTGTGAGGACGAGTACCTAGGGAAAGGAGGGTTAAAAGGAAGAGCAAGATCAAGGGCACAGTTTCTGCAGAGTTCATTGCATGGCACAAAATTGCTGCATGAGATTGGAATCTCATTATACCATCAACTATACTAGCTTGAGGCCTGAGAGTAACTGGCTGAAATTTACAACACTAGCCCTGGGATATTAGAACACACATCAAACACTTAGGTACTCATAATTACCCATTTGAATCTGTTGTCTTTGAATACAAAATCCTTCTTATCCCTATTTTGTGACTGTCCTAGTCCCTATGGATCAAAAATTAATAGAAACGCCATTTTGTTTCAATTCTTGCTTAAAATATACAGAGCATCTTTTACATCTTCATGTTTTATCAAGTACAGAATTAATAAAATAACTGAAGATCTTTCCACATGTCCAATCTCACTCTATCATGACTATACATATATACAGCCCCTGGGGTGTCCGTATTCTGAAACTCTTTTTTTTAACCACAAACATACTTGCTTATTTTCTTTCTTTTTTTTTTTTTTTCCAGTGGTAAGATAGGATTTTATTAGACAGAAATATAGAAGGAGTAACAAGTACCAGAGCTTCTGGCAAAGGGGAAGACCCAAGTTGGAAGTTTTCCCCTAGTTTGTTTTCTATATAAATTTGTTTTGATAAATTCCAGAGGCTTATCAAAGGCTTTACACAAACTAGTATTGCCTTTTATATGATTTGAACAGGTCACTTTCAAATAGCTGTCTGACAATTTGTAATCTGAATGCCAATTCATCTAATATTTAAACATTTTAATGAATAGTATTCATATACTCTCTACATTTCCTTTGTTTTTCACCAAAGGAATCTTAGTGTTTTTAATATAACCTCACAAAGCAGCTCCATAACATAAATGATTATTTTATTGGATCTTCTACAGGCATTTTATATTCTGAATACTGCATTAAAATATGTTCAGGTAATAAAGACAATTCAAAGGAGATAAAAATGAGAGCACAACGAAGTGTTGTCTTTAAAGACTGTTATTCAAAAACTAGTGACCATCTGTAATTTTGAGCACTGGTAAGAAGTGACAGCAAGGTAAATCCTAAATACCAAAACCAAAGGCAGGATGCCTTTGAGAATGGAATTAGGAAGTGCCACAACATAATAAACAGGACTAGACATCTGCAGAAATGATTCTCTTACAGAATGTAGAGACTCTGGAGAGGGAAATGTGACTGGCATATGAGAATAACTAGGAAATTCCAAAGAATTTGCTTGATTTGCTTCTTTAGCACTACTGAGGATATAAGAGTGAAGGACAGAGTTCTTTCTGTGAAGAATGTACAGTCTTATGGCATAGTTAAGTAAATAAAACAATTAACAAGAGAAGGAAAGCAACATCTATTTCTTTTAGGGCTGAAAGGTAAGCTAAAAATCAACTATTGCTAGTTACCTAGTATTATAGGAGATGAAAAGGCCTGCCTCTGGTAGACATAACCATGGAAATCAGCAAAGTACATACTGCTATGGGGCAGGGATTTCCACTAGGCTGCCTTACATGACCACCTATGTCCCTCTGCTCAAGGTCCATTCTTACCAAATCACCTTTCAATTGCTGCAGCATCTTAACATAGGCAAAAGCATTTAGAAAATTAAAAACTGTATTCCTCACCATAAGCTCATACTCTGGCATACACGTCTGACTCTTGTGAGTTTGGTTAGCATAGATCAGTCCTGCCAAATCAATTCTGGATAACCAGACACATTGCACTTCTTATTTTCAAAGCTGAGGACTACCCAAGACTGAAACCTTGTGCCAATTGTAGACTCTGGGTGACAACAGTATTGTCCACATGACTTCATCAATTATGACCAATCGACCATTCTGGGGTGGGGGAGGATGTGGAAAGTGGGTAGGCTGTGTCTATGTGTGGGCTGGAGTACATGGGCACTCTGACCTCCCTCTCGAGTTTGCTGTAAACCTAAAACTGGTCTCTAAAACAGTCTATTTAATTAAAAGAAAAAAAAAAAAAAGCTGGAGTAAACTAATCAGAATGCCCAAATCAAGGCATACCTGTCTGTCTTGGGAAGTCCTGACATGGGCCCGCTACTTTTACTAAACATTTGCTTTCTCATAGTGTCTTCAAAGTATCAAATAAAACACATTATTAAATGTCTGAGTAGAAACTAGGGAGATGTTCAAAAGTGACTAACTCACATTAGCAAAAGTATAATAGGCCAACACCCCCTTGATCATACTCATCTGACAACCAGCACAGCCAATCAAAAATAAGAGCTGTCACAATGAAACACTGGGTGAGAGGATTTGTAGCTAAGGACCTACAATGAAAACACAAAGAGTTTAGAAGAGAGCCTAGAGCTCCATTGCGGTCTCTCCATTTCAGTGACCTGAAACCTGGCCACAGCCAACATGAAGGTAATATTAGCATATCTGAACACTAAAGCAAGGATGATGCTCGAACAAATAAATGTTTGAATTGCTAGAATGATGCCTTAAATTTTCCAGCCTGAGTTTCGTAATTACTTATCTTCCTTGAGGTGAAACAACCAGAAACAGAAAAAGCCATGGTTTTTACAAAGGCAGGATGTCACTTCTATTTCTAATGTTCTTCCTCATAATGCACAACATTTATTGCCTGAAACTTTCTAGGGTCATTTTTTGTCATTGTTAAAACCTCAACAGTACAATGGTTAACATCTTGAGGAATTATTCATCACCCATTATATAGAGGGTAACTAAAACATATATACCCATTTTTTAAGAAAGGAAAAAACTGTATTAAAATTGTAATAATATATGCCAATAACAAAAGATAAACACAAGTCACATCTGAGCACTTCTTGTAACTGCACAAGTCAAACATGACTTGAGTATTACAATTTTTTTTTTTTTTTTGAGACAGAGCCTCAAGCTGTCCCCCCGGGTAGAGTGCCGTGGCATCATGCTCACAGCAACCTCCAACTCCTGGGCTCAAGCGAGTCTCCTGCCTCCGCCTCCCAAGTAGCTGGGACTACAGGCGCCTGCCACAACGCCCGGCTATTTTTTGGTTGCAGCCATCATTGTTGTTTGGCGGGTCCGGGCTGGGGATTCGAACCCACCACCTTAGGTGTACGTGGCTGGCGCCTTAGCCGGTTGAGCTATAGGCGCCGAGCCGAGTATTACAATTTTAATGTAGTTTTTTCTTTCTCAAAATGTGTATACATTTTTTTTACACCCTCTGTATAACTTGGATTATTTCCCACTAGATTTCCTTTATATTTGCCCATAACTGAGTCCGCCTGATTATAGTAAAATCAAGTTTATAAAAATGGCACTATAAGAAAGAAAACAAAAAGTTCCCAATGGAATTAGTTTGAATGATACTAAAAACCCAAGTCTAAACTTTGGCTATGTTGTAGTCTTTCTTATTCAGCACCTGTATGGGTGTTAAGGTGATTCCTCAGCAGAGTGACTGTTCTGAACGCCCTGCCACAGAGATGGCACTTGTGTGGTCTCTCATCAGTGTGGCTTTTCATGTGTCGATCCAAATTTGAACGCCGTGGACATGTGTAACTGCAGAGCTCACACTGGAATGTCTTCTTTACACCTACATGTAAAATAAAATACTTAATTTGCTGCAGAGTTTCACAGTATTAAGATTAACCCTAATCTTAAGTTTCTACAAATATTTTATTAGCTTTTTATAACTAAACCCAACCTAAGTCATAAGGACCCCCATCACTAATACATTTACTTCTTTCCCCTTAGTATTTAAAAAAGTAATTTTTAAAAAAGCATTTAGACTGGCTGAAAAAAGAGGTAATCACATAATAATCTTTAATAAAAATACAATGAAAGGCAGCTCACACCTATAATCCTAACACTCTGGGAGGCTGAGGTGGGTGGATTGCTTGAGCTCATGAGTTCGAGACCAGCTTGAGCCCGTCTCTACTAAAAATACAAAAAAAAAAAAAAAAAAAAAAAAAAAAAAAAAACACGAGGCAAGAGGATCACTTGAGCTTAAGAGTTGGAGGCTGCTGTGAGCTATGATGATGCCATGGCATTCTACCCAGGGTAATAGCTGAAGACTCTGTCTCAAAAAATAAAAAAACATACAATTAAAGTACTTAAATACTTATATATGCACTGTGTTGAATGTGTTATCCCAAAACACTTTTATGAAACTACTATAAATAAACCCATTTTACCTTTCTTTTTAATTTTTGTTGGCTTTGGAGGCTTCATATTACCAACCACTTTCTCTGCATTAACCTCTGACAGCAGACCCTCCTGCTGCTCTTCCTCAAAGTCATAGACAGATACATCCACATCTTTGCCCTCCTCTGTGTAACGCAGTTTGCTTTTTTTGGTTTTCTTTGTTTTTTTGGCTGGTGGCTGATAGTCTGGGTCTTTTTGCCAACTAGGATCTTCCTGAGGCGGAAGTTCCCCTTGTTCTAGTGTCTCCACCTCTCCATTGGCCCCCACTTTCACCACTTGGAACCCCTCAGGCAAGGGTAACGTGTGGCATATCATGGGTTCACTTTCTGCAAGACCCTCTTTAGACACTTCATTCTCATAAGCCCCCTGAAGTTCTTCTACTGAAGTGGTAGCAACAGGTACAGTCACAGGAACAGGTACTTGAACAAGTTGAAGCTCTCCTAAATTTATAGGCTGTTCCTCCATATTTACAACCTGCAAGGTTATAATCTGGGTATCGTCCACAGCAGCCTCTGCTTCTGGAGCCACTGTGCCCTCCATTACTTCAGTCTTCATCTGAAGAAGGGTAGGATCAAGCTGTTCCATCATTACCATCTGTACACTGCTGTTGACATCCTGGACCACCTCACCCCCATCTGTCTGGTTCTGGGGTAAGTGGCAGGTATCTTCTTCCTGGCCCCCTTCCCGGCGTCTCTGGTAAGTCTTTCTTTCCTTTCCTTTAATAAAAGTTTCGGACTCCTCCACAATGGCTTCGACCGCCTCACCTTCCATTTCCCCTTCCTTTGTTAAAGGAGAACACAGATTGTTATTTAAAATAAAGTTCGACTAAATAAAACATATACATTTAAAACAAAAAAGACCCCTGGGTGAATGAATTAGGTTATCAGTGATGGTGGTTGCTTTTTTAAGCATCTCATTGACCAATAAGTGGTTGTTAATATTAAAAAAGTCATGTGCCTACTGATGGAAAGGGAAAAGTACCACCTAAAGGAGTTTTGTAAAACAAAACCAAAAACTCTGAAACTAACCAAAGCCTCTAGATCCAACTACCAATTAATAGGAAATTAGTGACAGAAGATATTAAATTATACTACAGGGGAAAAAAAAAATCAGTGAAATCTAGACTGTGGGAAATAACTGTTAAGATTAGGCTCAAGGAGTAGGGCACTGACCTCACATACCGGGAGTGGTAGGTTCAAGCCTGGCCCCAGCCAAAACCGC